GCCATCACTGTGCCGAAATTGGAGGTCAAAGGTCAATGGGGCACAGGGCAGATTTTAGACATGGTCTGACGGAGCGATTGGAAAACTTTTTTGTTTCAGCGGTGACCTACCATTTTTATGGCTTTATTGAAAGGACCATAAAATGTACTTTCCGCTGACATGCGAAGAGTAAGTGTCGGATAACCTTTTGACCCTCAAGAGGATGGTTAAACATGGATTTGTTGACTGTTAACAAAGGACTGAACTGCTTTTGCTATTGTGGATGTGAGGCTACAGTTGCACAGTTCAATTGCAAAGGCAAATGTTTGTTGAACAAGGTTTACGCTCCTTAAATCATATTATTTTCTAAAGCAGTGTGTATTAGCACACTGAGTAGCACCCTGTATTAGCACACTGTAATGAACCCTGAATGCTCGCGTGGGTAGGCAAAAACATGGGGCAGCCCATTACGCATGCATGGAGGTGAACTGACACTATTCTAATCATAATTATTGCCTGGCAACCTGCAATGCAGATGTGTTAACTCACAGCTGAGCGAAATTCTCGCCTGCCTGAATATACTTGGATTTCAGCAACTCAATGGAGTGAGGTTATCATGCACGAAGGGTGATGCCATCTTTGATTATTGATGACACTTGCACGCGCCATCTCGCGGCAACTCCTTTTGCTATTAGAGCCCCCTCCACCCGCCTCCTCCCCCTACTCTCCCCCTACCACCACCACTACGCTCGCGCTCGACACATATCCATGATAACATGTTAATATAGCGAAGTCATTAAAGTTACACAGCTGTATCTTTATTACTGTACTACCAGTACCGGTATAGCAAAGCCTAGCTATCATAGATTTTAGATCTGTATTAGTAGTATCCTAGATATATGCTCTGAGCGTGAACGCGGTGGCTGGATTCGGTTGCCAGTGAGTTCATCAGAAGAATACCCGGCTACAGTACACGTCAGTTGAGCGCTGTTGCTCTGCGGCACTTTTTTAACGTGCTGTAAAGTAATTTGAATACATTCCTGATATTCCTATTGTTTTCATGGTGAGATTATGAGGTCACGACTAGTTGCATGCTACCTATTACACGGATGAACTAAGAATGTTACCATCATAGTATCAATGTATTTTGTCATTTTCATGTGATGAGCATCTCTTGCTTTTAATATTGAACAAAATATTTAAAACCTGCACACTGCTAAACAATATATGGATTCTGTCCAGGTTACTAATTTAAAAATCTGAGTAGAAAAATATTTATATAAATTAATAGGTAAAGGGGAACTATTTCGAAAAGAGAGTTGAGAAATATAATTTCGTAATTGCTTTTGCTAATTACAGGTAAGAACCGAACGATCAGGTTTGCAGACGATCAATCTTGGAATCCTGAAGACGAGGAGAAAGACACGCGAGTGAAATACAAGCCCGCCGTTAGCCCCCTGGTGGCCAAGATGCTGAGAATGGCGGGACAAGAAGTGCCCATGATCAGGGTCAGTGCTAACTTGCGTAACAGCACTCGAGCAAGCCATATTTATTTCTTTGCAGTAAACGTTAGAGATAACGGTTGAGAATATGATCAGAGTGGCTCCATGTGCGAACCCGGTATTCAAGTAAAATAATGGTCAGTTGTGACAGGTGTTACTCGTGGATAGAAACAGAACCTCATAACTTCATAAAGATTATATATTAGTCTTCAAAGTCCAGAGAACTATATCCACTCCACAGAAAGAGGCAAAGTTGATCAAATATGCAGATCAACACTGCGAATCGCAGTAGAAAAAACTGCAAGTTTTGCAATTGACCAAAAAGGAAGCAAGAGAATTTGTGATGATAAGATATCAGAGTGCGAAATTAACGGGAGTCCGGAGTCAAATACTCCCTGATTTACTGTCGGACTCCCTGATTTGACATATGCAGGAGTCTGTGTGACTCCCTGAAAATTCTGCCATACTAACTATAGTCCGTTCGGAGCACGGCCTCACAGTATTACCATATTTTTTCAGGTAATGTCCAAAGAAAATTTGGCAGACTGTAACCGCCATGAATCTTCAAAATAAGCCACGCTGTTATTTGTTAATATCTTTATTTTGAACTTCAGACTGCGCGGACTCCATCATTTGCTACGTGACTCCTTCTTTTTAGGGTAGGGAGTACGATGGGACTCCCGTGTTCAAAAGTTCATTTCTAACCCCTGAGATATATTAATATTATATAGAGTATGACAAGATAGGAGTATGTGATGACGAGTGATGGGCGTTTATGAGATCGCTGTGATGTAGCGATGCATATCTACGGCAATCGCTGCGCGCGGTTGTTTCTCGCTGCTTGCCGCACCGGTGAACTCTGACGGTTTGGTTGCTGTTCTCGCGAGCAGGAGCCGTGCAGGAGGTGCTCCGCATGCCGGGAGAAGCCATTTCCGAGGCAAGGTCGAGGAGCCAACATACTGGCGCCGGCCGGAACCGACACGTCGGCGCGCGGATGAGGCGAGCAGAGCGCCTGTGTGTCAAATATGCCGAGGTAGCGCCGCACCCCAGCGCGGCGCCGCCCTGGACCTCCCCCGCGGACTGACGGCAGGATATAACCACTTGCTGCCTGCTGGCTGATGCATGATGATGATGCATTGCGTGATGATTGATGGTGGGGATTGCATGTTGCATAATAATAATCATGATTGATGCCGCCGGCTACTGTTGGGAACTGCTGTTGCTGCCTGCGCTGTTGCCTGTTGTTGTTGATGATGATGATGTGATGATGATGATGCATTGATTGATGATGATGATCGTGTGATTGAAAATGCCTGCTAATGCATCTATGATCTGCTAGCTGCATGCTTGACTTGACTTGTTGTTCATGTGACAGCAGCGTTACATTCCACTAACTATTTTGCAGGCATGCACCAGCCATGTTTCCGGACCAACCAGCGGACCGCCGCCGCTGCCGGCCAGGCCGTACAATCGACGCGCATGCTGACCCCCCGGGCCGCCGCCTGGCGCAACCCGCGGGCATAGCCGCCCGAGGGCCGCACCAGGACTACCGCCCAATTGCGGACCGCCCAACGTGCGCACCCGGGTAAGTTTCATCTGCCCGCGCACGATGATGGTGTTTACTGTCTGCGGCGTCGTTCGAGTCGTCGCCGTTGGTATTCAATCTAGCTCCGGTGTAGCCGCCACAGTGCGGGTTTTTTCATACTGTTTTTTGAAAACTTTCCTGAGCACATAGCTAAAACAGGTTTAATCAATTCGAATATAGACGACAAAATTAAAACTACATTGCTCAAACTGCCTTCAAAATTAATACATTTTCTATTTATCAAAATGGAGCACAAGGCCGTGAGTACATCACATCATGCCAGTCTCATTCAAATGGACAGAAACAAACAAACCGGGTAAGCACGTCGCATGCCTGGTTTTTTCTCGCCTTAAACATCGTCAAGATGAGCCTATTGCCATGGCTGGTGTTCTAGTCCGTCTGTTCCGTCCCGTCACCATTTGGCACGGGTCAACGATACTCAAGGAACCGTTTGACCACATGTTTCAAATTGCCATATAGTTGTTACTCCTATGGCGACCTACATTCGAAGCCACGTCCACTTTTTGTGCAAAATGGAAATGGCCAACAAGTCGTCTCAGGCTTCAATGGATTTGCATCATTTCTGGTATGTGTGATGAATATGAGACTGCGCCCCCAAAACATATCACACGGGTTTTGATATTTTTTTTAAATTATGCAAATTAGGTAGATTTTGGCAATTTCACTATGCATTTCAGTGTCTGCCTACGGTCAACGATAACTCAAGAACCGTTTGACCCACATGTTTCAAATTGAATACAGTTGTTACTCCTAGGGGAGAGATTTGAACTTCCTATTTTGGAGCATACCAGTCGACCTACTTTCGAGCCACGCCCACTTTTTGGCAAAAATGGAAATGCCCATTTAAATTCATTCGATTTTGTTAAATTTTGGTATGTGAATGTGTAAGGCTAGCCCCAAAACAGTTGTTACTACTATGGGAGAGATGACAACGTCCTATTACATTTATTTTTGTCTAACTGGTCAACAACTCTACAATCATACCTATATACGTGTAATATTGTGTTTTAGATTCTTCGTTACAATAATTTGACTGGAATATTTTATTGTTTTTATTTGCGCGATATTTGAAAACCAAAATGGCGATCATTTAGGCGTAGCGCCATCTCTCGTCAAGATTTCAGACTTTCAGATCTGAAACATTTATTTTCGCATCAAATCTTATGCATATATCATTATCAAGAGTATATAATGGGAGATATGCTATATAATGGGAGTTCTCCCATATATACTCTTGCTTTATATATCCCCCCTCCCTCTTCTATCACACCCAAGGTGAGCTACAGTGTCATTTGTAATGTGTTTTTTCGAAAAACTCGGGAACATCATCTCGCCTGAGTGAAAGCGAAAGAGGGAGAGGGAGAGTAGAAGAGGGTAAAGGAGAATAGAAGAGAGAAAAGGAGAATCAAAGGAGGTGGGGAGAGAATAGAAGAGGAAAATGAGAATCAAAGAGGATGGGGCGAGAATAGAAGATGGGGAGGGAGAATAGAAGAGGGTAAAGGAGAATAGAAGAGAGAAAAGGAGAATCAAAGGGGGTGGGGAGAGAATAGAAGAGGAAAATGAGAATCGAAGAGGATGGGGAGAGAATAGAAGAGGGGGAGGGAGAATAGAAGAGAGATAAGGAGATTATGAGAGGGAAAAAAAGTATCGAACAGGGGGGAGAGAATCGAAGAGTGGGGGAGAGAATAGAAACGAGAGAAGGAGAATAGAAGAGGGAGGGTGAGGGAAGTAGAGGCACTTACACGTGTTTCTTCCATCTACGGCATCAGAAGCTGGTACCACACACATAACGTGCAGCAGGTTTTTCCTCGCCATTACGGCGTGTTTCTGCTTGCGCATGGTGAGACGTGATGTGTGACGTGTGACTCTGACCCTGCAGGCATGACGATGCCGCCGCTGCGGATGATGCAGCTGCCTCCGCACCTGCCCACGACGATGATGCCGCCAGCGATGGCACGCCTCGCCGGCGCCCCCAACCCTAACGTGCTCAGTGCCCCGCCCAGTCTCATCAGCAGACCTCGCAACATCGACGGTACGTATTTCTTAGTTCGTTCCAGAGCACGGCCTCGCGGAATGACCGTATTTTTTCAGCAAATGTCCAAAGAAAATTTGGCAGACGTGTAACCGCATGAATCTTCAAAATAAGCACGTGTTATTGTTAATATCTTTAATTTTGAACTTCAGACTGCGGACTCCATCATTTTGCTACGGACTCCTTCTTTTTTAGGGTAGGGAGTACGATGGACTCCCGTGTTCAAAAGTTCATTTCTACCCCTGAGATATATTTAATATTTTATAGAGTATGACAAGATAGGAGTATGTGATGACGATGATGGGGTTTATGAGATCGCGTGATGTAGCGATGCATATCTACGGCAATCGCTGCGCGGTTGTTTCTCGCTGCTTGCCGCACGGTGAACTCTGACGGTTGGTTGCTGTTCTCGCGAGCAGGAGCCGGAGGAGGTGCCGCTGCCGGAGAAGCCATTCCCGAGGAAGGTCGAGGAGCACATACGGCCGCCGGGAACCGACGTCGGCGGCGGAGAGGAGGAGAGCGCGTTGTCAAATATGCCGAGTAGCGCACCCCAGGGGGCGCCGCCGGGACCTCCCCCGGGACTGACGGCAGGTAATCCCACTGCTGCTGCTGGTGATGATGATGATGATGATGGTGATGATGATGGTGGTGATGATGATAATAATAATCATGATGATGCCGCTGCTACTGTTGGAACTGCTGTTGCTGCTGCTGTTGCTGTTGTTGTTGTTGATGATGATGATGATGATGATGATGATGATGATGATGATGAAAATGCTGCTAATGATCATGATGCTGCTGCTGATGTTGACTTGACTTGTTGTTCATGTGACAGCAGGTTAATTCACTAACTATTTTGCAGGCATGCCACCAGGCATGTTTCCGACCAACCTGCGACCGCCGCCGCTGCGGCAGGGCGTACAATCGACGCGCATGCTGCCCCCCGGGCCGCCGCCTGGCCGACCCGCGGGCATGCCGCCCGGGCCGCCACCAGGACTACCGCCCAATGTGCGACCGCCCAACGTGCGACCCGGTAAGTGTTCATCTGCCGCGCACGAGATGGTGTTACTGTCGTGCGCGTCGTTCGAGTCGTCGCCGTGGTTTCATCTGTCGGGTGCGCCACATGCGGGTTTTTTCATACTGTTTTTTTGAAAACTTTCCGAGAACATAGTAAAACAGTTAATCAATCGAAATTAAGACGACAAAATTAACTACATTTGCTCCAAACTGTTCAAAATTAATACATTTTCTATTTATCAAAATTGAGCAAAGGGTGAGTACATCACATATGCAGTCTCATGTCAAATGACAGAACAAACAAACTGGGTAAGCACGTCGCATGCTGGTTTTTAGCTCGCCTTAACATCGTCAAGATGAGCTATTGCCATGGGGTGTCGTCCGTCTGTCCGTCCGTCACCATTTGGCTACGGTCAACGATAACTCAAGAACCGTTTGACCCACATGTTTCAAATTGCATATAGTTGTTACTCCTATGGGACCTACATTCGAGCCACGTCCACTTTTTGGCAAAAATGGAAATGGCCACAAGTCAGTTCAGGTTCAATGGATTTTGCTCATTTCTGGTATGTGAATGAATGAGGACTGGCCCCAAAACATATCACACGGGTTTTGATATTTTTTTTAAATTATGCAAATTAGGTAGATTTTGGCAATTTCACTATTGCATTTCAGTGTCGTCTGCCTACGTGTCAACGATACTCAAGAACCGTTTGACCCAATGTTTCAAATTTGAATACAGCTTGTTACTCCTAGGGGAGAGATTATGAACTCCTATTTTTGCGAGATACCAGTCGACCTACTTTCGAGCCACCGCCACTTTTTGGCAAAAAATTGCGACAATGCCCATTTAAATTCATTCGATTTGGTAAATTTTGGCTATCGTGAATGTGTAAGCGCTAGCCCCCAAAAACAGTTGTACTACTATGGGCAGAGATGACAACTCCTTATTACATTTATTTTTGTCTTAACTGGTCAAACAACTCTACAATCTATTACCTATATACGTGTAATATTGTGTTTAGATCTTCGTTACAATATTGACTGGAATATTTTATTGTGTTTTATTTTGCGCCGCATATTTGAAACCAAAATGGCCGATCATTTAGGCCGTCAGCGCCATCTCTACGTCAAGATTTTCAGGACTTTCAGATCTGAAACATTTATATTCGCATCAAAATCTTATTGCATTATATCATTATCAATCGAGTATATAATGGGAGCATATGCTATATAATGGAGTGTTCTCCCATATAATACTCTTTGCTTTATATATCCCCCCTCTTCTTCTATTCACACCCAAGGATGAGCTTTACAGTGTCATTTGTAATGTGTTTTTTCGAAAAACGGGAACATCATCTCGCCTGACGTGAAAGCGAAAGGGAGAGGCGCAGAGTAGAAGAGGGTAAAGCGAGAGCAAAATAGAGAGCCAGAAAAAGCGGAGAATCAAAGGAGGTGGTGGAGAGAATAGAGAGGAAATGAGAATCAAAGAGGATGGGGCGAGAATAGAGATGGGGAGTGAGAATAGAGAGGGTAAAGGAGAATAGAGACTGAGCAAAAGGAGAATCAGAAGGGGGTGGGAGAGAATAGTCAAGCAGCGCAAAATGAGAATCGAAGAGGATGGTGAGAGAATAGTAAGAGGGGAGGGCGAGAATAGAAGAGAGATAAGGAGATTATTGAGAGCGGTAAAAAAGCTATCGAACAGTCGCGGGCTGGCAGAGAAATCGCAAGAGTGGGCGGAGAGAAATTAGCAACGAGCAGAAGAGAATAGAAGAGCCCGGAGGTGTGAGGAAGTAGAGAACTTAACACGTGTTTCTTCTATTCTACGGCACAAGAAGCTGGCCTACCAACAACATAACGTGGCAGCAGGTTTTTCCTCAACATTACGGCGCCTTGTTTCTGCTTGCCGCATGGTGAGACGTAGAGGCTGTGACGTGTGACTCTGACCCTGCACGCATACGATGCCGCCGCTGCGCGATGATTGCAGCTAGCCTCCGCACCTGCCCACGACGATGATGCCGCCAGCCGATGGCAGCCTCGCCGGCGCCCCAACCCTAACGTGCTCAGTGCCCCGCCCAGTCTCATCAGCCAGACCTCGCAACATCGACCGGTACGTATTTCACCCGCCAGAGGGCACTCACGAACAAGTGTCGAGCCGTTGCATGTGCCTGAATAATATATATATATATATATATATATATAATAATAAAAAATAATAATTAATTATTGATTTATTTTTTTATTATTATTATATATTCATTTAAATTGACTACAGCACAATTTCTATGGTCCGAAAATTTGTAAAATTTTTGTTTGCCAATTTTTTTACATAAAAGTAAAACTAACGGCCACTAAACGTATCTCAAATTCTTACCGATATGATTGTTTCTAACTAGTTAACGATCAAAACCTGGACGCATTTGATATGTGTTCCTGCATTTAATTCTTCTAATGGGCTATGTATGACGTCACGACGTGTATGCTTCAACATCGAACAATATAGTAAAATAGGAGTATAATTGCTGCATATTTAACCATAAAAAAGGTAAAGAATACTTATATGTTTTGTGAAAAGTGGAAAGTGTTTTTTTAAATTTTTTACTATTTACGGTGACGTAATCACTTTAACAAGCCATTTTAATATGCGATAGAATTCTGTAACAGTAAATGTCATCAAATTCACAACATTTTACTGCTCGATCAAATTGTCGTGCAACATTGTCCTACAATAAGAACCTATTATATCTGTATATCTCTCTACCTATTCATCTATTTCCGTCCATCTGTCCATTTTTCCATCCATATCCGTGTATCTTATTCCATCCATCCATCCATCCATCACATCCATCCATCCATCCATCCATCCATCCATCACATCATCATCCATCCATCATCTATCCATTCATCCATCCATCCATCTATTCCTCCATCCATCCATCCATCCACCCATCAACAACGTACTATAGTATATAATCTATCAATTACATACGTACGTACATTTAACGGTGACTCGTGTTGTTGGTGTGTAGAGGAGAACAAGTCAGCGACGATTGAGGCAAAGCCTCAGATCCGCAGCAGTGCCGTCGATATCACGCGCTTCATGCCTACCTCTCTCAAGGTCAAGCGAGACACAAAGACCAAGCAGAAACAGCCAAAGCCATCAGCTCTCGGTAAGGCATTAAAATCCTTGTACACGGGTCCTGTGATAGGATGTGCTGTGTGCTGGTCATTGATAGGATGTGCTGTGTCTGCTGCTGATAGCGATGTGCTGTGTGCTGTGATAGGATGATGCTGTGTGACGCTGTGTTAGGATGTGGTGTGTGCTCCTGATTGGATGTGACCTGGTGTCTGTTGATAGGATGCTGCTGTGCTGCTGCTGATATGATGTTGCCTGTGTTGCGTGCATAGCGATGTTGCCTGTGTTGCCTGCTGTTCAGGATGTGGTTTGTGCGCTGTTGATAGGACTGCTGCACTGTGTGCTGTGTTAGGATGTGGGTTGTGCTGTGATAGGATGTGTGCTGCCGCTGTGTTAGCGATGTGCTGTGTGCTGTGTTAAAGGATTGTGGTGGTGTGCTGTGATAGCGATGTGGTGTGCTGCTGTGTTTAGGATGTCTGCTGTTGCCCTGTGTTAGCATGTGGTGTGCTGCTGTGATAGGACTGTAGGTTCGCTGCGCTGTGTTTAGGCATGTGCTTGTGTGCTGTGTGGTAGATAGTGCCTGTGTGCTGTGTTAGGATGTGCGTCGTGTGGCTCGGTTAGGATGATGGTGTGCTGTGCTGCTGATTACGATGTGGTTTTGTGCTGTGCTTATGGAATTGTGGTGTGTGGCTGTGCTTAGGATGGTGGTGTGCGCCTGTGTTATGGATGTGGTGTGTGCTGCTGCATTACGATGTGGTGTTGATATGACTCGTGTTTAGGATGTGGTCGTGTGCTGTGTTCTAAGATGTGCGCTGATTGCCCTGTGATAGGATGTGGTGTGTGCTGTGAATTAGCGATGTGGTGTTGCTTGTGATACGCCATGTGTTTTTGTGCTGTGTTAGGATGTGGTGTGTGCTGTGTTAGGATGTGGTGTGTGCTGTGTTAGGATGTGGTGTGTGCTGTGTTAGGATGTGGTGTGTGCTGTGATAGGATGTGGTGTGTGCTGTGATAGGATGTGCTGTGTGCTGTGATAGGATGTGGTGTGTGCTGTGATACGATGTGGTTTGTGCTGTGTTACGAAGTGGTGTGTGCTGTGTGTTATGCTATAATGGAACATAGATACTAAGGATCACCAATTAGAGTTCACCTTCATTCGGTAGCTAAACAGTTGCTAGGATCCAACTAGTACATGCTGCTAGTTGCATTTGTGTGTTTGCATGCTCACGATTATTGACCAAGAACAGACAGCCACAAAATATGCAAGTTGCCTGCCATCCAGTCTCTATTACCACCTGCAGGAAATTCGCTAATGCAGCTGGCACCCTTTCGCAATCCCAAAATTCTGTAAATCCTGCTACCACACAATCTTTGTTGCGCAGCAATTTTAATAACTCCCGCTGTCAGCCTTTCTCAGCTGCCCCTGCTGCCACCTGCAGGCATGGTGGTGAATTGTTTATCGGTTTTGCAGGTCTGGAGTATCCGCGGGGTGCAGCAGCAGGACCGAAGCCAGCGCCAGCACCGATGCAGACGAACGACGATGCGTACGATGCCTTCATGAAGGAGATGGAGGGCTACTTGTGAGGCAGCTGCAGCAGCAGCAGCGGCAGTGACGATAACGTGTACATAGAGGACTAGACGCGAGAGTGGCAAGCGCTCGCTGACGACGATAGCTCAGTCTCGTGCGGATAAACACAGCCGCGGTATCACCTGCTGTGTAGTATCGATGGTGCGGCGTAGCACAGTGCCCGCTGTTGCCTGTGTAGTGTCGATGGTGCGGCGTAGCACAGTGCCCGCTGTTGCCCATATCGAGACGATGGTGCGGCGTAGCACAGTGCAATGTATCACCAACTACACCGACAACTACATGGCGTTAAGACGACTCGAAATATCCATCTCCAGTTCGTCTAGAAAGATGATAGCAGCGTGTCCTTGGATTCGTGTCAATGACAAGAGTGACTGTGGTGACAACTTGTCATTGAATAGATTTTAATGGCCACAGCTAGCATGGGCCACAACTACCATGGTTGTATCTTTAGGGCAAGAGCTAGCAGGTTGGGGCAGTGACCTTGGTATGATATGAAGGGCAGGAGCTAGCAGGTTGGGACTGTTACCTTGGTAAGGTATCATGAAGGACATGAGCTAGCAGGTTGGGGCTGTGACCGTGATAAGATATGAAGGGCAGGAGCTAGCAGGTTGGGACTGTGACCTTGGTAAGGTATGAAGGGCAGGAGCTAGCAGGTTGGGGCTGTGACCTTGGTAAGGTATCATGAAGGACATGAGCTAGCAGGTTGGGGCTGTGACCGTGATAAGATATGAAGGACAGTAGCTAGCAGGTTGGGACTGTGACCTTGGTAAGATATGAAG